TAAGAGAAGCACATCGCCGCTGCTACAGTCATGCCTTGCTGGGAAAGAGCATGACCTTTTTTTATTTTTTATTTTTTTTAGGAAAGCCAACTTTGCATGCGATTTATCTTCTGGCGTCGGTGGTCTAGTTGTTAGACTGTAGGACTTTCAATCGTTACGTCCGGGGCTCGAATCCGGTTAAGATCCCGACACGACCAAGAGGATGCCCGCCATATCCTTCAGCACCGCCCGCGCTACGCCACGACTTCGTACACAGGCGTGGCAGAATGTAATGTGACTCCCCTTGAGAGAAAGCACTATGGCAGTCTTTCAGATTTGATGCCAACTGCACAGTTTGTGCGCGACATCGGACTGACTGTCGAACTGTGCTGTCTTCGAGAACGAGGAAGAAGGAGAAGTTGAAGGTTAAGAGCCCGACTTTGTGTCCTTGGACAAAACAAGGCACTTTAAGCGAATTTTCCTCACTTACCCAGGTGGGAAAAGGTCAAGGGTGATTCTCCCATAGAGGACAGTCGTGCAATGAAGCCCAAAGTGTTTAATATTCTACTACGTTAACCACCCACAAGCAGAAAACAAAAGAAGCCAGCAACAAGAATTATCCGCACATTTTATCGATACAATGTCCTCGCTGGCACCTTAACGACCATTACTGTGTCTGCAGCGCGGTACCATGCCATATCAAGGTCACCGTGATGAACCTGAACATAATAGGATGTTCAGTGAAGTGTTCAGTGGTGGTAATCTGTCTGAAAGAAAAGCTCTTTGGACTAACCCAAGCGATGACGCTCCTTGCAGCGAGTGTGGCTGAACATTAATATTAATAAGAGGGCAGACGTCAAAAGTCCACCTGATGAAACATCGCAATGCCCACATATGTGTGCTCTTGAGCAACCCTGCTTAGTGCAATATGCAATAAGGTCAAACCCAGCCTCAGTGACCCTGAGCTTCAGAGAAGTCAAGGTGACGTAACAAGGTCACCTTTAGTAGGGCCTTTAAATTGTTTGAAGTTAAATGGGGAATGTGTTAATACTTGGGTGTTCATTTCAAACGCGAGATGAATGAATAAGATTTGTAGCTCCCAATAAATAGATTTAGTACTCGAAATCAAAGTGACATAAAACAGAATGAAAGTGAACGAGGGGTCCTCACGAACCCATTATGATTATGATTATGATTATGATTATGATTATTATGAAGATGATGATGATGATGATGATGA